AGGAGAAGGAGAAGGAGAAGGAGAAGGAGAAGGAGAAGGAGAAGGAGAAGGAGAAGGAGAAGGAGGAGGAGGAGGAGAAAGTGAAGGAGGTGGAGGATGATGGACAATAAAAATAGTTAAAGCATTTTGATGAGGATTTTTTGCGATATTTCCAACAATGAATAATTTATCTTCCCACCCCAGTCTTATTTAAAATGTGGCAACACCATGTCAAGTATATAAATAGAGCTTTCAATATGATAAAACATATGTTTTGAGCAACAATGACAAAGCAACCGAGTGTAATTTTATATGCACCCAGACCCTAAGCACAGTGGCGCCCTTATGTATATCACACAAATCAACCTAACAAATTTTTAATTTTGAAGTATAATGACAATATTACAACTTCTTGATTTTATTAAAGGTGCGTGTACTCCTGCTCTTGCAATAGCTACACGTAATACTTTATGTGCGTGTGTATGTGTATTTAAATGTACATCTAATGAGAAGTCCTTGGAGAACCCTATATGGAGGTCATTTTTGGTCTCGTTTCGGTTGGCCAGAGATATTCTTCTTCGTACTTATAAGGCTCACTTATCCAGGCGCTCATATCCGTTCATAGTCAACCTTGTGTGTCCCGTATGAAGGTGCTGTCTGTCTCGAGTGTAGAGTTCATTGCATCTTCACCCGAGTCCGTCAAGTATACTCCAGGCTGAAGGACAAAGCTGCATTTCCTTAAAACATGATGGCGCTGATACAGTTAAGCTTATTTAAAGATGCAATCATCTACAATGGATTCGGCAACATTAAAACAGACGATGTTATTCGAGGCAATATGATACACGTTGAAGGAAATACTCTTTGGCAAAAAGCGATCACAGCTGAATGGAAGTGATAAGAAGGAGTGATGTAAAGGCGGTATTAACGAGTGCAGTTTCATACAAAAGGAAAGTCCCCTCAACAACAAGATTGTATCGCAGACATGAAGACCGAGATGGAGTGGCCTCCCCTTTGGTCTCAGTTTCCGTTAGTTTTATGATGTTGGTTCGACTGCTTTTTCGCAACTCGGTCGGAGCATCAAGAAGGCCTCGTGGAATATGCCCAGTCCTGCCTCTTCTGCCAGACCATTCGAGATTGCCAGCTTTGGATCATTGGCTTGAGAATGTACCATGTCAATGGTCCGATGATGGACAGCACGAACACTGTGGCAGAGGTGGCAGGACCAGGTACCTTCCACCGGGTCTATCTGACGCTCCGATCAAGTTGCGAAAACGTGATCAAAAAAACACAATCAGTTTGTGGATCTGTAGGCAACTTTTCCCATGACTTGATAAATAGACCTCGCAATGCCATTGCATTTCACGTGGCCGGAAGTTTCAACCTGATGGACCAGTGTTAAATTTGTTTTTCACACTGAAATAAATGCTATTCTCATCCCAGCATGGTTCACATAATCTTACCTCCCGAAAGCATTTTTCATGCCCCCTTCGCCGCCTTGTCAGCGACCTCATATGAATCCCACGC